CACACATGGCCAATAAAGTATTCTATTCTATTCTATTCTATTCTATTCTATTCTATTCTACAGCTTTTAAATAAAAAAGCAGAAGGAAAATGCAAGGTAGCAAGTGACATTTTTACTTACAAGCTCACACTTTGAACCGGTTATTGACAGACATATGGATCAAATAAGCACAAACCCAGTTAGCTTTTAAAATTTGTTTTATTTTCTTGGTATAAATAACATACATACCTAAAAGAGATGTTATTTAAGTCAGTGTCAACCTTTCATTAAAACATTCCTCAGGCACTTAAGAGAAATTCTCAGTAATTTAACATATGTCACCAGTTTCCATACAACACTATTTTCATATATAAATTTCATTTCAGAATCTAATGCAAATGCAGTTACAAATGAAAGCATGAATAAAATGTGTATGTGTATTTTATTAATCCCACAAAATTGTTAAACTAGCCTTGGAATGGAAAAATAGAAAAATAAATGTATTATCGTATACTTTTGAAAAAAGAATCTAATCCACCAATCAGTTGCGTATTCTCAAAGATTCCTTTTTGTTTCTCTCTCCACTCCAAGATTTGTTCTGCCAGTTCTTCTGTCTCTGTTACCAATAAATACATCTTTTCTAATGCACTCCTCTGTAATATAATATGAAAATAAATATTTCAGTAGTATTTGGCAATATTTCAATATCTTGAAAGCTAAAAATAGCTCAAAGCCAAAGTAATTTTATTAGTATATGCTAGTTTATTCCATATACTATTTGAGAATAAGAAAAGTCATTAAAATAGTATCTTTTCATTTCAGGAGGAAGTATAGTATGAAATGAAGTACTGTATCAATTTGCATTTCCCCCAAAGTATTTCTCATGTTTTTTCAGGTTACAGATGCATCATATAGTAGACTGGTATTATATTTCTAGATTAAGAAATAAAGGTGTTCTTTGTACTACTCAAATAGCTAACCTTGTAAATTGTCCTTAGGGAAAGAAAGAGTATTAGTGAAATGTTAAAATCTTACCCAAATATTACCCACTTACCATATTTCTAATGTTTTCAGGTATTTCAGGGATTTTTCTTATAGTAAGTAAGTGGGTTTCTAATTTTTCAATAAAAGATACTGCCAGTGCCAGCAATTCTACCACATCTCTAAAATACAAGAAGCAAAGATGCCATATTCAGTTTGAGAAGTTTTTAGAATCTTTGGATTTTATTTCTTAATTCTCCCATTTAAAAATGGATTTAAAAACCATACCAACTTTCTATAAACATTGTCAAACCTAAAATATACCTCAATCAAGACTGAACATTCTACTTTTTGCCAAAAAATCAACATGTCTAAAACATCAGGCGAAATTTTAAAAAAAATGTTTCTATTTTCCCAACAAATGTTTTTAACAATCATACCAGGGTATTAATATAAAACCTTAAAATAATGCTAAATAGCAAAATCTAAGTTAAACTATTTGAAAAGGGACAAAATGCTTCTATAAATAAATAAAAATGTGAATAACTAAGCATTCACATACCCCTTTCAAATGTAGAGAGAAGATTGTCAAGCTTCTCAAGGAAAGATCCTCTCCCAAAGCTTATCCATTACGCCTTCAACAGGGATGGGTTAGAGATTTGGGCCGCTAAGGCAGATCTCAAAATAGAAGAGGGTTGATACAGGCTCAGTAATGGTTTAAAGTAATGTGCCCAGACTATTTAGAGTTGTAAAAATGAATACCAACCATATAAGGTGAAATAAACAGCACAATAAATATAAGGATATGATGCGGTCCAATGACCTTTTTGGTGTGCTAGAAGACTATATTTTTATACTATGTATTTTATTAAATGGGAAATTGGCTAAATACATCCAGCACAACCGTAAAATGTAGCTGACAGAACCTGTCTTCTGTTGTTAAAAATAAAATAAAATCCTCTCAATCAAACCTAAGATAAAATGTGTGTTTTACAAATACCAGCAGATTGTCACTGTACCTGACTGCTGGAAGAATGCCATTATTATTCCCCCCATACAAAGGGGAAAGGTAGCAAGAATGAACACAAACTTTACAGGGAAATGTGTTTGGCAGAAATGTTACAATGCAAGGGTGGGTTGGGTATTGGATAGAATGCAGCCAATTCCAAGGAATGAAAGGATGTTGAAAGAAGTAAAAACAACTGTGCATACAAGGGAGTTTCTGCCCACTTTTATCAGCCCCAAACTCCACTGGACTCTCACAGATTTCACCAATAACAAATACTAAGTAAACATACAAAATTAGGAAGTTTGATACCTGTGGAAGGCAGCTTCTATAGGCAGACTTTCTCGACACAGTGGTTTAACTAGCCTTTGCCTCAGAGTTCTTTTATCCTTTAGCACTGCATCCAGGTGCCTGTTCATTGCTTGCAAAGCCTGGCACCTCTGAGCTATGCAAAAGAAAATGTCGAAGTAAAACTGGCTGGTGCATTAATGTAAATCAGGGTTACAGGACATATGGAGAAAAACTACCTTAGATCATAGTCTTCCCAATATGAATTCTAGCACATTGTCAGGAGACACCTGGGTTAATTAAAAAGCAAGTACCAGTATGAGTAGAGAAAGAGAAAAGGGTGGGGGGAGGATCTATACAATAGTCCAGGACAGGGGTGGGTTTGAAAACTTTCTACTATCTATTTTGTGAGCATGGCTTGGCGGTCATGTAACTGGGTGGGCATGGCCAACTTGATGTCACTCACCAGGAAATGTCATGGATTGGGTAAAATGTGGTGAAGCTCACTTAACAACCCTCTTGCTTAGCAACCAAAATTTTGGGCTCAATTATAGTCATAAGCCAAGGACGATCTCTACCTTCCTCTGCATGGCAGCCTTGTCCTAGTAAACTATTTCTCCTTTCTGGCAATTTTCCCCTCTGTTAGAGGCACCAAAATAATCCAGACAATGTAAGGTTTCCTGCTGCAGCAGGGGGTTGAATTAGATGACCTCTGGGTAGCCTTCTAGCCCTAATTTGCTGTGCTGTTTTTTTCTTCCTCCCTCCCTTCCTTCTTTCTTTCTCCCTTCCCTCTGTGGGAAGCAACCTCCCCCCCCGCCCAATAACTGCTGAATATCACTTTGCAAACCTCCTTCCGAGCAGCTTTTCAATTTAAAGCAGGACTCCAAAATTTGCAGCTTTAAGACTTGTGGACTTCAACTCCCAGAATTCCACAGCCAGGCATGCTCAGCTCAGATTTAAAGCATTTGTTTTTCTCCTTTGCTGAATTTCCTGGCTGAAAAGTGAGTTTCTTTCTTTCTTTCTTTTTCTTTCTTTTTCTTCTTTTTCCCTCCCTCCCCCCTTCTCTCGTACTTTTTAAAGCTTTTTTTCCCCTTGCCTGAACCGGCAGGGGAAAAAACTTTTTTTTAAAAAGGTTTTGATGAAGCTTCTGACGGGAGAACAGGTTCGGGGATGTGGCCAAGCCACCATTACTACTGCTCCTATCTGGTACGCCAGCTTTTCATTACCTCTTCTGGCGTACTGGACCATATAGGGAAGAACCCATCTCTGGTCCAGGAAGTACTAGCTTGCCTGGCAACTGATAAACATCTAAACTGTATGTTCCAATGTTACTCTGAATTTATAGTTCAATTTCTCAATGTGTATCATCCCAAAAATCTTACAATAAGTATGACAGCACACATTGGAATTATATTCAACTTTCTAAAAGGACATTTTCCCATATAATGAAAGTGCCCTTTTTCTCCTTTGCAACACTTTGCAAACGATTAGTGACAGCCTCACAAATTGATTCTTATGGTGCAGAAGAGTATATTTTAATCCCATATCCTGTATTATTATTTTAATGTATGCTGCTCTTCAAAACAATATTGCCAAAAAAGCTTACAGCATCCACAAAGCTTCTAAAGGCAACAATCTCTCTCTTCCCACTCAAGTAGACAATGCTGCATTTTAAGCATCCTGGCAGACCAGTTTGATCTAATAGTTAAGGCACAATTAGAAGTTAGGATCCGAAAAGCGAACCTTGCACCTGCAGGAATATGCTAGGAAGAAGAAGAATTAGAAGCCAGGAGATTGAGGATTTATAAGTTTAATAGATTTATATGGCTGCCATTATATATGACCGAGTGGCTAATATGAAAAATGATAAAAACATATTCCTTGGTGGATGGGACTCAGAACACGCCCTTATGTATGATCAAATAGGATGGGTAGAAATAACCAGGCAGAGATGACCCCATAAATAATTTACCCCAAGTCACAGAGGGCTTTAATGATGATCGCCAACACTGAATTACACTTTGAAATATATTGGTAGCCTATGCTGACTGTGGAACTGGGGTGTCACGTATGCTGAAAAACAGTATTGCTAACTGATTGTGCCACCACGTTCAGCAATAGCTGAAACTTCCAGATGCTTGTAAAACAAGTTGCAGTAGTTCAATCTAAAGATTCCTAGGGCGTGAGTGACTATGGGTAATCCTGCCTGGAGACAGACAACAGCTTGATGACTTTGGACCAGTAACTTTTTCTTAGTCCTAGTTACTTGCAAGCCACTTCTGAAAATACTACCAACAAAACTGTACAACAAATAATTCCAAAAGATGTTTCCAATTGTATGAACATACAAAATTAACACAAAGTCTTATATTATGTCCAATTACTTAACTTCATAACTGAAAGATTACATAGCAATCTTAACAACACTTACTAAGATAAAATGGATGAGTAATGTCTGCTGTATCTTTTTCCATTTGCAGGGCTTCGGTCTCCAAATTAATCTGTAACATTGAAACAGTGCTTTACATTTTTGTGCAATTTTTAAAAGTATTTAAAGTTATAAGAATCCTGCTAAAATGACGCTCCAGTATTTTTACAAAAGTATTTGATATATTGAAATGCAAATGTTTAATATATTCATTCTTTACTTTTGCATATTTGCACTAGGTGCTTTATTTTACTATATAGCTCTTCTTTAGAGTTCACTTCTGGCCAAAAAGACTATATACCAGCAAAAAACCATGGTTACAAGACTGCAGAATGCTGCAACCAGCCATAAAATTGAGTTGGTTTCCAAGTACCTGAAATGTGGTCATGTGACCATGGCTATGTATTGCAGTCATTGGAATTCCAGCATGGATGATAAGTAGCTTTTTTTTTGGGGGGGGGGGTTGTCTGTTATTAAGTTGTTGATAAGCAAGGACTACATGTATACAAAAAAAAGCGGGGAGGAAACCAGTATATACCTGCTATATACATCCTTTTCCCCCTCTGAAAACATCAGAGGTATTATAATATTAAAGAAGTTTATACTGACTTCTCTTCTGGAACAGAAGGTATTGTGACTAATAGAGCAAATGTTCACACTTCACATCATTTTTATCAAAATAAGTCTTGTTCTAGTACTAAAATATTATTTACCCGGCTGACTTCAGCTTGGAGATCAGCAATTTGTTCTGCTTCGGAGGCATAAGTAAAACAAGCAGATGGTTTTCTACATATATCTAGAGTCCCCTGCAGAAGAAAAGAAAAAACAAACCAACTCAACCACTCGTGAAATTAAGATTGAAGTTTAGAACATACATTTGTAAATAAAGCTCAATTAATTCTGAAACTAATAAAAATTTAGAAAACTATCACTTACTAGGAGAGACTGACACACAGAAGACTACATACATGCATCTTTTAAATGTTTTATTTCTTCTTTGTGTTGCTGTCTCAAAAGTAAAATCTACAGTTGGAAATTATTGTTGTATCATTTTTTTGTTTAGTATCAAACTTTACAATCTAAAATTCTTTATATACCTCAGAATAATCAAGCTTATGCAATAGCACATAAAGGTAATTTGATCAAAATATGTGTCTATTATGAAGAGTAGGTTATTCTAACAGCAATCAAACGATTCGATTAAAATAAAAGTGGTTACTGATAAGGAGCAGAATGCAATTCAAATATTTATGAAAAAATATGTTTTATGTATCTTTTATATTTTAAAATATGATGCATTAGGTATGTGCAACATTATGGACTATAAATAGTCCATAAAGTTGCACATACCTAATGTATCATATTTAATATGAATAAGAAACCTTAGATTTGTACTTTATATATAGTGTGTCCACTCTCCAAGCAGAGTTAATAAACACGGGCAACTTGTATGATAAAAGAACAGAAATTTGGACAAACAAGTTTACAAGGTACCTGAACAGGCAAAGGAAGAAATGGACAATTAGAGAAAAGGGCAAAAGGTGGGGCAGAAACAGGACATACTATATTTTTAAGTTTCTTTGAAGGGTGTCAGAAATTACAGCAAAAAAACTGCAGGACATGTACTTAGGCCTACACGTATATGAAATTACTTCTACCAGCTTCAATTTTTTCAATTGCAATATTTTCCCAACAATCTTTATTTTCAAATGTTGTCATAGAAATCCATGGCAACCCATGTGATCTACAAATTACATTACCATATTTTTTTCAATATAAGACACTCCGAACCGTAAGACACACCTAGCTCTTGGGGAGGAAAACAAGAAAAAAAAATCCTGCTTCTGCCTCCCAGCATCCATCGGTATTCATCTGGCTAGCATCCCTGCATCAAACAGTCCAGTTAGCTTCAGGACATTATTGCAGCTTGATTTAGCATGAGCAGCTGATTGGCGGTTGGATCAGCCTCCCAGAATATCGCCAATCAGCTGTTCCAGGCTGTGGGGATTGCTGCCGCCTATCGCTGCCTCTGTGCGTCCCATTTTTGGCCTCAGCATGCCTCGTTTTCAGCCCATTCTAAGAGGAGGGAATTGCCGCTGCTGCTTATTGCCATTGGCAATTGGTGGCCGCCGCAATCCCTGCTGCCTGGAACGGGCTGACAAATGGGGTGTGCGGAGGCTGAATACGGCCAGCAGGTGGGCGGGGATTCAGCAACATACACTCTATAAGACACATACACATTTCCACCCACTTTTTTGGGGGGGGAGTGCACCTTATAATGCGAAAAATACAGTAATTCTAAATTTGAAGGGGCTGGATTGAAGCCTATTGCTGGAATCAGAAAATAAATTAAGTAATGTAAATCTAGGCCATTGAATCCGTCAACCGATAAGGAAGGGAAAAAAAGCAAACACTTTATAATATACTACTGTGAAAATAATCCAAAATGTAAAAAAAATTACAAAACACTCAAAAAGCCAGACAAGATTTGTTTTTAAGGCAATTCCTGCTGGATGCAGAATGTGAGGACAAAGAAAATGACATGTCTTCCTTTTGTCAGACATCTGAGAAGCCCCTAGCCTAGACAGAGGAAAATAGTCTTCTCTCAGAAATTAACTACTTGACTATGGCACCAGATCAAGGGTTGCTCACAAACATGTCCCATTTTTTTCAAAATCGCTTTTCATACCCAAAAATCGGAAGAGTGCTCTATGAAATTCAGAGGAAATTCCCACAAAAATAACAGTGGATGTGTCTATCCTGAAGTATTTACTGAATAAATACAGAGTGTTTCTAGACTAGAGGAAGATTCAAATCGCATTTTGTTCCAATCTGTGCACTATTTTTGTGTGTCACATTGAGTTCTATCATATCTCAAGACCTAAAATGGACACCTAACTTCAAAAATGTCATGAAGAAAGCACAACAAAGAATGTTCTTTCTGTGCCAACTCAGAAAGCTCAAACTGCCCAAAGTGCTGCTGATTCTGTCCTACAGAGGAATTATTGAGTCTGTCATCTGCACCTTTATAACTGTCTGGTTTTGCTCTGCAACCCAAGACAGACAGAGGATAATCAAAACTACAGGGGGAAAAATTGCTACCAACCTGCCTTCCATTGAGGACCTGTATATTGCAGGAGTCAAAGAAGGCTGTGAAAATATCTAGACCTCTCACATCCTGGAATAAATTGTTTCAACTGCACACCCAGAACAAGACACAAGGATAGTCGTTCCCCCCCACCCTTCCATCACTCTGCTAAACAACTAATTCCCACAACACTGTAAAATTATTTACTAAGACTGTACTATTATTATTCTTCTCATCCTTCCTAGTACCTATCTCTTTCCACTTATGACTATAACCATGTTGCTTGTATCTTTAAATTTTATATTGTTTTATTTCCTAGTATGATTTCATTGCTTATTAGTAACCTATGACTTCAACTAAGTGTTGTATCTTATGATTCTTGATGTATTCTATTTTATTTTTCTTTATGTACACTGAGAGCATATGCACCAAAGACAAATTCCTTGTGTGTTTAATCACACTTGGCCAATAAAGAATTCAATTCCAATTCTATTCATGGGATCCAAGAACACACAGGGACTAATTGCAATGGAGTGGCATTTACATTCCTTAAAGGCAGACACGCCACCATGCAAATCTGCCCCGCTTAATTTGAAACAAAACGACCGAGCGTGCAGCGGAATCACTGCAACACCCTACATCGCGGGAAAGCGATTTTTCCAAAGTAATCCCGGAAGAAAACAGGAAGAACGTGCTTTAAAGACACCCCACCCACCCCGATTTTTTTGTATCGCGTACAAATCATGAGTAATCTGGGCTCCCCCCCCCCCCCCATTCTGGTGTGCAGACTACCTTCTATCTTAAGGCTTGGCTGGAACTGTTTGGGCGATCCACAACAGCCTCAGAGGCGATTATGATTTGCAAGGAAAGAACCAACCGCCCCACCTGAGACACCATTCCCGCGGAGAGAGTCCGCGCCAACATCAGTCCCGCCGCCGTGGGCTGCACGGGATCCCAAGGATTGGAGGAAGCCATGGCCAGGCGAGCCTCCGGGAGCCACACCCGCGCGCGTGCGCGCTTCGACCGTAAGCCCGCCCACCTGCCTAGGAAGCGCCTCCCGGAGATGCCTGGGACGCGCGCGGCGCCATGTTGAGTGCGGCCGAGCAGCTCTCCCGTCACGCAAGTCTCTTCTCTTTAGCACCGGGGAGACCGAAGGAGATTCCTCCCACTTTCTCTATGGGCCGTCCCGTATCACGATGTACCCTAGCGGGGTCCGCCGAAGCATCGACTTCTCTGTACAAAAGAGTTGGTGGCTTTCCCCCTCTCACGGGGCATCTGGAAGCCAAAAGAAAAAAAGAAATAAAATAAAAATGGCGACTCCTTCGGCCATTTTGATTGTGGCGGAAGGCACTCGGGATACTCTGGGTAATCCTCCCCCATCCCCGAGATTCTCAAATATTATTTTCCGAGCGGAGAAGCACGCCATTAGAGGCTAGGCTGGCTGTCATCCGTGTGCTTGGCTCTTCCGCGGACGACTGAAGTCGCCCGGCCGCTGTTTCTCGTCGTCCTGCGTATGCTTGTTGCTAGGATGCGAGGTTGTGCCGACTAAGTAAAGGGACGAAGGTAATCCCGCCCAGGAGGAATTTTTTTTGGGGAGGGGGATCTCCCTTGGTGGCTTCCCAAGGGGAGATCTACCGAGGGCGTTGGAGTCGGGAGGCTGAAGTTGGTAGCCTGATTATGGGAGATGAACTCCATTAGAAAGTGCCGCAGTAAAAATCGGGACGATTATTGGATGGCAGCGAAGAAGAAACTTTTGGGTCTGGACGTTTATTGAGGAAAGAAGAAAGATCCATCTAAATGGTCATCCGGCTTTTTGTAGCCGTAACGTGTCATCCTGGAAAAGTTAAATCCCTTTGAGGTTAGGCTTTCATTTCGCGCTAAACCATAGTTTGTTTGGTTCGTGTTCATGCAGTGTGACCTGTTTAGTAAAACTGTAGTTAACTGGACCCAGCCTCTCATCCGGATTAGCGTGCATGGGATTAGCGTGATTTGACTGTGGTTTACTTCAATGGAGAAATATTTTTTCCTGCGAAGTTCGGGAATTGCGTTGATGCCGCCCCTTCCCTATGCTGCCCGCCTGCGTCTTTTGGTGGGAGAAAGAGATGACACCTTGCTTATTTTCCCCCCTTATCAGTGAGAGGAAGGTAAATATTCACCTAAACATAGTTTGTTGCTGGCCCCTTGATGGTCAAAACTGAGGTTATCCCAAATTCTCTGAGTTAAGTCTGACTTCACTTACCTGCCCTTCTCCTTACACAGTTCCAGGTAAAAGAAGGCTAGCAGCTAGTACAAAAGCCAACGAAAGAGAAATTCGGTAATACAGATAAGTCCTCCATTTACAACCATTTGTGTAGTGTTTGGAATTACAATGGCATTGAAAAAAGTGATTTATGACTGGCTTCCACATGACTCTTGCAGCATCCCTACAGTCATGTGATCAAAATTTGGGCTCTTGGCAACTAGCATTGTATTTATGATGGTTGCAGAGATCTGGGGTCAATCACCCCTTGTGACCTTCTGACAAGCAAAGACAATGGGGAAGAGATTCCCTTAATCACCATGTTACTAATTTAACAACTGTTAACTGTTAACAACTGTGGCAAGAAATGTCATAAAATGGGCAACTCTTAATATCTGTCTTGTTTAGCAAAGTTAATTTTGGGCTCAATTGTGAGGATGAAGACTACTTGTACTGTCTAAAAGCATTGTTAGATGAACAAAGTTCTCTTAATATTCCATTGTGTGGAGAAAAAAATGTATTGCTATTATGAACAAAAAGGCATTAGCTTGAATTGGTACCTGAAAACCTATAATCCGTACAGTATTTCTTTGTAATACTGCTGATTTGTCACAGAAAACAGTAATTAATGAGGCAGTACTAAGCTAAGGAAGGCAAAATTAGAAACAGTGCGTACCTTGTTACTTTTGGATTAGTGCTAATGCAAAAGTGTTTTAGAATAGGAAACTCTGACATCAGGAGCAAAATATTTAGAAAGTCTATTGATTTTATATGAAACAAGTCTTGTGACTGCAACACTAGAGAAAGCTGTGTTAGAGAAAGTTGTGCAATGCGATTCGTATGTGGTCAAAGGAAAGCACAGCTCATTGGAAGCTATAACTGTGTGGAGTCTTGTACTTCATGGATTTATTTACAGTGCTACCTCGGTACTCTTCATTACTTGATTCCGGGATGAGCACCAAAAATAAATAAGTAACAAATACCTTTTTATATAAGGAATAATGTAATGAGTCACAAGCAGCCTACACTGATGAGTTCTAGTTTGTGGGATGATTACCAAAGAAACTGAGTACTGGGGTGGGTGGGTGGAATTTGCACCAAAATGCATTGAGTATCAAATTTGATGATTTCAAAGCAGTTGAGTACCAAGATACCACTACATATGCCAAGGCTCTATGCTGCTAAATTCCCATAGGCTGTAAATGGCTTACTGTACTAAAAGCATTCGTCACATAAAAGGCTTAACCAACATACCATAACAATTGGGTAGGCCAAACCTCTCCATCTCTAAATATGTTTACAAACAACAAACTCTTCATAGCTATTTGGAAGCCCAAGGACTTCCTGCTTGGGTGTAAGCAGTGGAGCCATGGAGTCATTATCAAAAAAACTTGTCTGTAGTTTTATTTTATTTTTTTAATTCAGTTTTATGTGTATATATTTAGAAATAAGCTGAATCTCTGGAGTAGAGGTTAATACATTGCCATAGACTTTAATGCTATAAAAACTGACTATCTGTTCAGTTACTATTATATAATGTATCCATTTTTCCAGCAGTTATTAATTAATCTGCAGAAGCTGACTGAAAACAAATACTTTTGAGCAGGTCTTGTTTTCAGGTTAGCATGAGTTTGAATACAGTATTTTCATTTATCATTTCCATCTTTTCTGTTATGTAGCAACATTTTCACATAATTCTGCCTTATTACTAATGAATGTTGTGTTAAGATTAATTTTATGCAATGGTGATGATTTGAGTAACTTATGTTTACTTGAGTCAGTGGCATGGAAGACAGTGCCTCAATTTACCATAGAGGTGAGAATATTGAGAAGAAAATCATATAGCTAAACCTTTATTTAATTTATTCTCAATTTACTTTTAAACAGAAAGTAATTTCATGTTGCCTAATGTCGTGTGAATGAGAGGGACTCCACTACACATCTGCCACAATCCTTTTGTTTGCCAGTTGCAAAGACAAGAACAGAAAGATGGGAAACAGTGCCTTAAAAGCACATTTGGAGACGGCCCAAAAAACAGGAGTATTCCAATTAACTGGGAAAGGGCTTTCTGAGGTAAATCTCAATTTTGTGTACATATGGCACCAAAATTCACTTTCCTTTAATCCATGAAATGCTAGAAAGATAAAATTATATTTTGTTTTGGAATTCAGAATATTGTCCTTTTGATTACATATGTATAGGACTAATTTGGCTATTTGAGACTTTGCATTTTAGACCATTTCAGGCTTGGAGTAGGCTATTCTGATCTTACTAGAAATCCAATAAGAGTATTCTAAAAGCAAAGTTTTTATTTTTTATTTTCAGCTTGATAATACCCAATTTGTTTGTTTGTTTTTAAAAAGCTGTTTTAATCCTGAAACCAAATGTTTGTCTCAAAATGCAGCATTTAATGTTGGAATATTTCTGAATGCATTCAATCTGAACATAATATATTTTACATACTTCTAATAAAAATATTGAATATGTTCTAATTAATATCTATACTATAAAGGTATTGATACTGTTCTATATTATAGAAATCAGTTTGCATTTCTAAAGGTAGAACATTTAATAAAGCTTACTTCTGATGACTGTATTTAAAAATTGCAGTTCTGTACAGTTTTACTAAAGCTCTCTGACTTGGAATTTCTAAAAAGAAATATGACTCAATGAGCTGTTATATCTATTAAGCAACTATGGCAGTTCATATTAGGTTTTATTTATTTTGATTTTGCATAATATGAAATACTTTATTGTGTTGGGTTTTCTTCCAATTATAGTTAATTGATTTTGGACAGATTTCCCAATTGTTTCCCAATCTTTCATTATTTGTGGAATGTAAGACTACAAAACATAATTTTTATTAGAAATCTTTCTGATTCTGTATATTTATTTGTTGCAGTTTTTAACTCTTAGAGTAATTTCATCAATATCTGAATTCTTTTTCAGTTTCCTGAAGATCTACAGAAGTTGGCAAGTAATCTCAGAACAATAGATTTGTCCAACAATAAGCTTGAATCACTTCCACCTTTTATAGGAAAGTTCTCTGTATTGAAAAGTCTTGCTTTAAATCACAACAGACTGAGTATGTTTACTTAAGTATTTTTAGCTTGCTATATATTGCATATTAAATAATGTTTCAGTACTAATAAAGATTTGTTTGTAAGTGTGATTACTTGTTACTAAGGTAATGCGTTGCTGAATGCTAAGGTAATCAAAATTATTTTGATTCTTATGAAATAGGGACTTGCTCAGCTAGAAAAAAATTATTATTTGCTCTCTTGTTCTCTTCCCACATCTTCTCAACTGCAAGAGTTCTGATGGAAAGTGGAGCCTGTGTATTAACCCAGGCAATTCACAATATATATAAGTAGAAGAAATTATATCTCTATATCATATATTACAAAAGAACATTCTGTTATATTATGAATCTTTATTCTAATGAGCATTATATAGCAGATTAAATATTCAGTCTTGACATTTTAATAATTGTTCTTTTTTCTCGGCATCATGATTTAATTCTATTTATAATTTATTACTAGCTGCATTACCTGAGGATCTCTGCAAGCTGAAAAAGCTGGAAATTCTACATCTGAACAATAACCAGTTGACACGTTTACCTAGCAGTTTTGGACAACTTGCAGCGCTAAAGACTCTGAGCCTTTCCGGAAACAAGCTTCAAACTATACCTGTTCAGCTATGCAGTCTCCATCATATAGATGTGGTAGATCTTTCCAGAAATCAGATCCAGAGCATCCCAGACACA